AGTGCCCAGTGCTCAGGGACGACGTAGCAATCAAGATAATGTGAGGTAGCGAACCTGGAAGGTGGGAGGATGGATGGATGCTTCACCTCTTTGGAATACTCATTAATCAATCCAAACCTTTTTTCTTTTCTAATCTGGTCTACAACTCTGACCAATAGCTCACCTCCTGGACCAGCTGGATTCGGCCATTTTGGCATTATCTCACGCACACACACATTCCCGTAATTGACACTTGTCGACACAATTGCGGGCAGCGGCACGCGACCTACCTGCCTGGGCTTCCATTCCCCCTCCTCGTCCTCGTCTTCGTCCGTCCTCCGAATAACCCCCCAAAAAGGGTCCCTCATACTCGAGCTCCAATCCCTCCTTCACATCCCGGTCGCCTCCAACTCTCGGATGCTCTCCGTTCCTTGGAACATCCTGTCCCAAAAAACAAGAATAGAGGGAGGAAATCGACCGCACCCCCCAGAAACGAGCTGCAGGACCGCCCAATCCCAAGTGCTGGAGCACGACGCCGAGACACAACCTTGGAAGCACCAGTGTGCCGAGCTACCTTTCCGTCTGCCACTAAGTAGTTCTCGACTGGAACTTGCTTCTTCCAAACTTCCAGAAACCCGCTCCGCTCTGCTGCTACACTACGCTACTCGCCAACCTTACCTACCTTGGGGTTCAAGGTCCTAAAAGGCCTAGACGCCTACGGATACCGGACTCTTCGACCAACCGGCCATCTCACAATAGCTTCGAACCTAACCCTCCTTCTCGTCCATCACACGCTCTCTTCCTCTCTCCGTCTGGCACTTGCCTCCTTCGACAACTCTACTACCCCCATGCCGCCATCGTCGCCGCCGCCGCAGACAACCGCACCCGAATCCCCTCCATCAATGGCAGCGCAGTCCGCCGCAACACCACCGCCTCACAGAGCTTAGATGGCACCCCTCGCGCGCGCCGTCTCAAACCACCACCTCCAGCACCAACACCACCACACAAACGGCACCCCGATTCCCACGAACGGCGCTCCTCCAGACCCAAACGCAGACGACACCACCTCCGGCCACCCACCGCCCTACAACCCGGACCTCGTCTCCTCCTCCCTCCTCGAACCCCGCATCGCCGTCGTTCTCAATGTCCCCAAGCCATGGCGACCATGGCTCTTCGCCTGCCGCCTTCTCTCTATCGGCCCGGCCATCTTCTGGGCCCTGCAGCCCGCTCTGACCCTCCTCGTACAGATCATTCCCGTCGCCGTACCGGGGGGAAAGAAAGCTGTTGATGCTGCTGCTGCGGCGGCCTCTGGAGTCGGGGTTGGCGGTGTCGTCAGCGGCGGGTTCGCGGGTAGCACGTGTCCCCCGCCCAATTGGCCCCCCGGACACTCCGAGATACCCTTCCCATGGACTGAAATGTCCTTGGGACTCATGTGGGTATGTGGAAGCATTGCTCTTCTCTGGGGGAGCACACAACGGCGCCTGCGCTGGGTTGTGCCGTTGGATGAACCCCCGAAAGATGAATCAAAAGCTGACATGAATATCGTGTTAGTGCGGAGCTTCAGCGTACCTCTCCTTCTTCTTCATAGACTGCCTGATGTCACGATGGTAAGTGGTTGAAGCGCACCTTTCTTCTCCACATGCTGTGTTCCGTATATGAAGAGGCTCATCTAACAACGACTAGGCTCATCAACTACACCCCACAAGCGACAATCATCCGCCTCCTTACAATCAACTCCACCAACGCCTTCCTCACCGAACGAATCCTCACATTTTCAGGCGGCTTCGAGGACCCAAGACTTCTTCTCCCCGGCTGGGTCACCATAGCTACGGTCAGTCAAACGCTTTCCTGTTCCACAGCAGCTTTCTACACTTGGGCCGCTACCGAAAGCATTAGTTAAACAACCGTTAACATCTTGCCCTGCGTGCGTAAACCAGACCCTTACGATAGCATACCACATCACCCAACGAAGCATAAACATCCAAAAGGAAACCTCCACCTCGATCAACATCTTTTCCATCGCCAGCTTCATCAGCATGATATCCCTCCTCGCCCACCTCCACTACAACGGCTCAGACTATCCCGAAAAGCCGTTCGAGTCCCTCGCCAGGTTCATCCTGCAGCAGTTTGAGCGTGTGACCGGCGAGGTCATCTTGCCTTCCTATTCACCTTCGCATAGCGAACTATAGGCGCCATGTCACGAATCTAAATTTTCAGAGCATTGTTCCATCTATTTGATATGTTTTGGTGAATGCAGGGGGGACACGAACTATGTGTCATGGCGGATGGACCCCCACGATGGAAAGTATTTAGGGGCGGGAAGCTCGAGAAAGAGGAAAAAACGCGACCTTGTTGAAAGCAACGGGTGCTGGAATGTGCCTTGAGAAACATAGATACCCCAAATTCACAGCTATGCTGCATATAAAGTGGTTTCCTCATGCAATAAGACAAGTTGCTGGCACGTTGTTACTGTCCACAATGTATGGTTCAAACTTCCGTGTAGATGAAGGGTCAACTTTCGTCTGCTGGGTGCCAAATCGCAAAGTGGTTTCCAGGCAGTGGAAACATCCTTGACTAGGGATTGTCTCAAAAAGTGACATGATCCAAGGACTTCGACGAATTTATCAACGGCCACAAGGCTCCAAAACAATAGCACACATCACAAAAATGGCAAAAAAGAATTGGGACAAGTTTGTCATTTTCAAGACTAAATCTCTGGACCACCCAAACCATCAATGAAAGTACGGTGGGCCCTTGTGAGATGCTCGAGATCTAACTGTCTCATCATGCGTCGAAGCTGACGCAAGTCGCCCTCAACCTCCACCGATAACCTCTTCTGTCGGTGGGAGGTATACCGTCCTACTACGTCACATCGGGTGCCGACACTGAGCGGCGTCGAAAGGCGGAGAGGCTGCTATGCCTCGTGGCTCTTCTCAGACCCGGACGTCAGCCGTAGCCGCTGTGGCCAAGGCTGGTAGGAACGGTGGCGACTTGCGGCGTGCTTAGAAACCGTGGACCTTGATGGTCTTGGAATCCAATCCGAGTCCCTCCTTGGTGTTGATAAGGAACTCTTGCACAACCTTGCGCTGGTCACCCTGGAGCTGGATGACCTCGCCCATCTCGCTGTCAGCTACGATGGTGCCATTGCAAGCTAGAAGGGGTCATGTTAGCAGGCCGCCCATGTCATATTGGGGTTGAAGCGGGGTAATCCGTACCAAATTGCTTCTTGATGACCTTGAGAATTTTCTTCTGGTCGAATTTCTTCGGGAGACCCTGAACGGTGGTCAAAGTCTTTCGTCCATTGCGCTCTGCAAGTCATGGGTTAGTCACTGTATGTTGATTGGTTGCCTTGAGTCAACGCGCGTGGGACCGCTCTGTCGGGACGTGCGGCATTTGTGTCTCTCGACAGCAGGGTTTGGAGGTTCGCGACGTACGTTGGATCCGAATATGGATATAATTTTGAGACTGTTTGGTCTCGCCGGTGTCTTCGTCGGCTTCGGCGAAGGGGTCTGAAGCGCGACAATGGTCAGCATCCTGGTAGGCAAGTTGGTGGCGGTCAGGGGGGAGAGGGGGCAACGCAATGTGTTCCAATCTCTAGGCGACAGCGAGCCAGAAGACTTGAAGGAACACGGCGGTGATGATCGTGGATCGAGGGAAGACGACTGTGGTGGCGACATACCGTAGGACTTGAGATTTTCAATTGACATAAACTCGTCTGTTCGGGGGTGACCTTGGGAAACGGGTTGGGTGACGATTGTCGGGGGTTTAGCGACGGACGGCGTGAGAGCGGTCTCGCTGTAGTAATGTTCGAGTAGTTGGGTTGTTGACACGAGAATGCGGTTGTTCGCAGTTGATCTAGCGGTTATCTGATGTCGTTGATGTTTGTACTGGGTCGATGATGATGAGGTGGTGGGAGACAGACGAAAGAGGGATCGCTGGGCTGGGTGGTTATATACGTCGGAAGATTTATGGGGGGTGGACGGGGTCTGCAGATCAGTGACTGATGTTAGGGTGGGCAGGCGGGCAGCCCGCAAAATTGGTAACTTGGGACGGAAGGAATGACGGACTCGGGTTCGGGCGGGCACTGAACAGAGTTACAAAGAGCGATGCAGTCAGGTACCTATCTCAACTCCTCTGCCTGTATTAGGTAGCGATGGGCGGATAAGGTACCTGATTTGGCTGGGTCTCAGGCCCTCCTGCCCTGGTGCGAGTAAACCGGGGGACTTGGAAGGTGCAGGTGGGCACGAGGGGCAACTATTGCACAGGGCAGGCACAGGCCACTGGCCGTTTCCCGTGCCTGCTCTGGCTGAACCAGCGGGAAACGGAATCGCGTGAGCCGCTGACTGCGCCCGATAAGGTACCTTGACTTGGGAGAGATAAGGCAATGGAACCTCTCATCACCCGCATCTTCTTCTGCCTTGTGGTAGTTTCCGAAAGGCATTGCCCCTCTGTACTTCGCACAGTTCAACGTGTGTTACTCACCCTTCGCCCATCATCCCAAAGTCAGCCCTCGCAGTGAGCACGTTGTTTGTGACAAACCCGTCCGAGTCCTGCCCTGCACAAGATGACGACTATGGATATGGATACCTCATTGCAGAGGTTTGGTTGGTGGTCACACTTGGCACAGAAGCAACAGTCACACCAACACCAGCACGGCCCACACCTAGTTGTGGCTGGACTCATCGACTCGCGCGCCGCCGCCGCGACCCCATGATTGTCCCTGGCTATTTGCGGTTTAGTCGGCGGGATGCCCAAACAATCTATGGATGCCATCTGCAGCTCGTATCTCGGCAGGTTGCGCTACCCGGCTCCCAGGTACAGCCACCGTGAGGCCTCTGCCAGCTCTCTGCCAGGACGTCGGCGCCACCGGAGCTTCCTCGATACATCATACAGCTGCAAGAGGTCTCTCGTCGGCAGCCACTACATACCTCCAACGATCACGTACTTTCAAGGACTGAGACATGGGCAATCATCTGATAGGGGACCCCCCTGGAAAAGCGCCAGCCCAAGAGAGAGGCACAATGTTGTTTGTTTCGTCTGCAAGACAAATCCTGACTCCCTGCGTCTGCGGCATCTGCATCAACGCCAACTCGGCCGGCTTCCAGACCTTGCGCCTTGACCAGTCCCGACTCTACAATGACCATCTGCTGCCAGCCGGCTTTGCCGCTTTCAGCGCCCAGCCCTACAACTATCAAGTCTCCGGATGCGGCTCCACGATGCGTCACTGAGAGCTGACTAGCATGTTCCTGTCCTCCGTCACAATCCAACAATCCTACGAACAGAGCCTTTCAGACCATGGTCGAGCAAAAGCAGGATCGTGGTCAAGGCGCTTAAGCCACTCGATCGTAAAGTCACGAAATGGAAATTAAAGACTTCAAATGTTCATTACAATTCCACATTCATCAGTCAAGCTCTGGCACCGGCAAATGGTCGACAAGCTTGAGATGTGTCAGACCCAGCTTTCCCAATGCTTCGATAGCATTCTGGTCCCGCAGCTCCTGCGTCTCCTTCTCCGAGACCAACACAAAGTCCTGTTTCAGCAACCATCCGCCCTCCTTAACGTTATACTCCTCTGCCGTCGCCTTGTCCACCTTATCGAGGTCGACAACAAGACTCTTCTTAACACCAAACACCGCATCCGATTTCTCATATGGATCTCCCCGGATATAGAGTGCGCTAGTTGATTGCGTCAGCCAGATCCATGATCCATCTCACCCAACCCTGGCCATCCGCATCGGAACGGAACGGACGGCGGGTTCTTGAAAGAGCTAGCTCTTACAATGGAGCAATAGATAAGGGCGGAAAAACCTACGTGATCAAGTGGTCCCAGCCTTCCTTTTGGAACATGAAGTGCAGATGCGCTGGCCGCCAGCAATGACGCCCCAGGAGAGAAAGCAACTTTCCAACCGGCCCATCGTGGGGAATTGGATAGCTCACGGGCTTGATTCCCTGGAAGAAGAAGCGACCCTCCTTATCCGAGATCATGACACAGCGCTCGCTTGCTTCTGTCCTCCCTTCGTGCTGCACGTCGTAGTGACCACTGCTGTCCGTCTCCCAGATGTCAATCTTGACTCCGGAGATGGGGTTACCTTGTCGGTCCTTGATGGTGCACACAACCAGCAGCGGTTCGCCCTCAGGATCTCCCGACATATTCGCTCCGTTCTCTAGAGTCGGCGCATCGTGTGTGTGGAATGGCCCCAAGACGGAGCCTTCGGTGGAGTCGGATGGCTTGGGATGGTTAATGCTGTCGACGAGTAGGGAGAGGCCTAGGATATCGGAGAGGAGAATGAACTCCTAGTCGGGCGGTCAGCGTCGTTCGTCAGGAGTCCTGAAGCCATCCGCTTTATTCACGACGGGTGCACCGCGCGCCGACTTACATGCCGCACGTCGCTGCTAATCTGTCCGCAGCCGACAAGGAAATTCAGCGCCGCCATCCATTCGTCAGTGCTCAACCGCGTCTCCCGCGCAAAGTCGTGCAGATGGGTGACGAGCCGTTCCATGAGGTACTTGAGTCGTGCATTGTCGCTCTGCGAGTTGATGCGAACGGTGTTGGGTGTGATGTTGTCGATCGTGAGATCCAGGAGCTCTGGTGTGTTTTGAGCCATTGTTGCTTGCTAATTGTGTGTGATCTAGATGCAGGCAGCGACAACGGTCCGATTTGCTTCTCAAATGTCCAGTCGAGATAGTAACGGCTTTCTCTTTGCTCGTCTCGTCTATCTTTAATATCAAGGACCCCGGATTTATCTGGCAGAGGTGGTACTCTTCGGAGGGAGGGGCACTCTTTATGTAATGCTCTGTAATCGCTGATTTCCGAGTGGGCTACCTAGCTGTACCATGCAGTACAGATGGTCTGAATTTCGAGTGTTGGTCGACGGGTGATACCTTAGCCGCGTCGCGGCAAATCCGCCGCACCTTGGACGTAGTCGGACACTTCAGAACACAACGGATTTACGGAACAAGTCTCTAAGTCCTAGGATTAACTGCTTGGAAAGAGGTATGTCAGCACATTGTCATTTGATAGTTCCCCAAGACTCGAGGATACGGTAATTCTCCCCCTCTACCCCTCCTCCTCCACCACATCCCTAGCTAGGTACCTACCTGGGTGATAATCCCCTCCGGCACTCAGTCTGAGTCTCTGACTTCATAGAGGAGAGGGCGTTCTGCGGGGTACTAGCGCTGCCCCGCCCCCACAACCTGTCGCGGGAGACTCTGAAGTTGGTGGAGGGCTTGGAGGGGTAGTGCAGACGGGGTCCGAGCGTCACCCCCGGGTCCTGGCTCGGGACTTGCGATGGGCGGGCGGATTGTGTAAGCGGCCTTCTTCGGCACTTGGTCCCGGCCGGGATGTCCGGGGGATCATAACGACGAGAGGGTTTAGAAGTGGTACATCTAGATTAGGAACTATGTTGTGTTCTGCCGTTACCTTTGGGTGATCAGAGGCTGTACACTTTGGTATGGAGCTTTGGTCCCCGTGTGTTTTGCGTGAGGATGTTTGCTACTACCCAAGGTAAGTAAGCAAGGTAACGACGGCGAAGTATCATGAGGTCACATGGCGACGAGTACGTTTCATGCTGGAGAGATGGCTGTTAAACAACCAGAGCATTGATCTTCGTGCTTCGTTGAAACTCGGACCGATGGGTAGCAAAAGTGAGAAGAGACACTCGAGATTTGGCGGGTAAGGTAACTTGCGCATCATCAAAGTGTGCTATGTCATTGAGCTTCTTCTGAACTGAAATGTCAGTACAACACTGAGATACAGCTGCCACTCTCCCTTTAGTTCTCTTCTCATCGGTTACTAGTAGTGGGCTTTCCTTCCGGTACCATGGCACATTGATTAGCAGGCCCGGGTCAGGTTATCACTGCTCGATTCCGAGCCCCGTGCCGCGCGGGGCCCACTTTCTCCGACTAAGCCCTCGGCGCCGGCAGCGACGTAAGATTCTCCGGAGCGAAGAGCCACCTCTAACACAATTTCGTGTAGACGCGAACTAACAAAACCATTGTTGAAGCTACCACGGGTCACAAAAACCCCCCCCCCCCCCCCACTGGAGGTATGCGGTGTGCCCTATCAACGACGCGACAATACGACACAATGCAACTCGAAAGATTGGATAAACAAAAATCTGAAAAACCTAAACCCGAGTCATGCCATTCACAAAACCACGCAGTATCCAGAAGAAGAGGGATAAACGGAGCGTAATTCCAGCAAATATGAACGCGTAGGTATTATAACTTGCTCTGTGCACAACAAAGATAACTCCGCGGATAAAGCGGCTTTGAGAATCTGAATCCAGCAACTTGACAAATGTCCTCCGTCATTTCCCAACCCCCTTCCCGGACGGCCGACGAATCAATCTCGGCACTTGCTGGTCCCTGCATGATCATCACAACTCAAAGTTCACGACCGTGCCCGGGCTTTTGCTTTTCTTTCTTCAGGACACTTTTTTTTTTTTTTTTTTTTTTATTAAATGAAGCGATGTCATGTTCTTTCGCACACTAGTAAATAACGTAGGCTCCGTGATAAGGTATTCGTAGGCTGCATTGGAAGTTTCCCCGTAGCCGCCGGCGTTAAATAAGGTAGGTTCGATCCCGTCTTGGTACCCTGCCATGGCTGGGGAGGTGCGGCATGTTGCGGCATGTATGATGTGCCTGATTGCCCAGAAAGGGGGGGCCGTCCCTACTTCTTTCACCCGTTTACGCGTTTACGGAAGGCCGGGATTGAGATTGGGATTGGGATTGCTCTACAAGGTAATTACGGACAAGAAAATTGTAATCGTAAGGTGTGCCCGGTGTTGATGTTGCGCGCAAGTGCCATCGGATTAAGCTCCGACCTGACTCCTCTTCCTCTTGCCCCTTTCCTTGCCCTCCTTGCGCAGGAGTGAGTCCTCGGGGCCCTCTTCCCCGTACCCTCACCATCCCTGGAACGACCGTTATCCACCTTTTGCTTTTCCCGAACCCAAACCGGGGTCGGCTTTCTCAATCTACCAACCTACAAACATTTACATCGACAAAACGACCGAGGAGAACTCCAGAGCGAAGAGATATGGCTGCCGCTGGGCAACCTCTGGTGCGTTTTTTGACGAGAGCTCATACTGCGAGGTTTTGGTTTAACTAATTGATTGTGTTTCTAGGAGCCCGATACCTTTGATTCGGACTCGGCAATCTCGGAGGTATGAGTGTTTTGTTCTGCCCAGCTTGCGTTCTTCCCCCCCACCCACTTTGTACCTTTCTCATGTCTAGTTACGTGGCGGCGTTTCACGTCACATCCCGCGCAGCTAGAGCTCCAAAGATGCCACCGGAAACGCAACGAGAGCCTGGCTCTCATAATGTTTCCCAGATAGCATCAGCCATAGACTAACGATATCATGTGCTGCAGCTTCGGAATGGCAGTACCGACTCGCCTACCCCGAGTATGTTGACGGTGCTGGAGGAGAATGGCAGGACATATCACGCAATGAGTTCCGGGAGTGAGCAGTGCCTTGTGAACCGCCTCTCCGATGCTGGGGCCTTGACTGACGATATCAAAACAGAATACCCGTTCCCCAACGATATTGTCGAGCAGGAGCGCCTAGGTTTGCATCTCTCCTCTTTCGGTGTGCGGATTTGGAAAGGAACCCTGAAGCTCATATTTGTATCATCTCAAACCAGATTTCCAACACCTCATGTGGAGTGTGACGCTGGGCGACAAGCTATGCCTATGTCCTAAGGACTCACAAAAGGCAAAGCGCGTGCTGGACGCCGGTACGGGCACCGGGATCTGGGCGATGGATTACGGTGAGATAATCTGAGTCCTGCCTCACCTTGCTTTGGGGTTGTGAGATTGACGATGTTGAAATTGCAGCGGACGCACACCCGGAAGCCAAGGCAAGTCGATGAGATCCTCTCCATCCCGGCCGACGACTACTAAGACGGTCTTCATCTAGGTCATTGGTGTAGATCTGAGCAACATCCAGCCAAAATGGTAGGCTCATCAAGTGGGAAAAAATCTCATTGTCGTGCTCACTGACGTCGGGATGGCAGGACACCTCCGAACTTAACATGGGAGCTGGACGACCTAGAGCAGAATTGGACATGGTCTCAGCCGTTCGACTTCATCTTTGTCCGCATGCTAGCAGGGAGTCTCAAAAACTACCAAGACTTTATCAACCAAGCCTTCGAGTGTGTCTCAAACTTCTCTCTCTCACTCTTACCCTCACACTCATACCCGTCCATCTCATTCTATGCACACTTATCCCCAGCAGCCACTCAAATACTCACCTTCTTAACCACCCAGAAACCTTGAACCAGGCGGCTACCTCGAAATGCAAGACCTCTCCCTTCCCTACCGCTGCGACGACGCATCCCTAACGCCGGACTCCCCAATCCACAAACTCTCCGACCTTTTTCTCAGAGGCGGCCGCGTCACAGGCCGCAACATGGACGCGGCGCCCACCTACGCCACCCTCATGCGCACCGCGGGCTTCGTCGACGTTGAAGAACAACAATTCAAGTGGCCCGTCAACGCGTGGCCGCGCGACCCGCACTTCAAGACGTTGGGCGCGTACACGCATTGTAACCTCGACCACGGGCTCGAAGGGTTGACGTTGGGGCTCGCGACGAGGAATTTGGGGTGGAGTAAGGAGGAGACGCTGCTTTTCTGCGCGACAGTGAGGAAGAGTTTGAGGAGCCATAAGGTGCATGCTTATGTTCCTTTGTGAGTTCGGTTCCTCTTGATGATCGAGATTAGAGAGACTATGTGCTGACTTGCCTGGTACAGATACGTTGTGTACGGGCGGAAGCCGACGGTGGCGGAGACGAGTGGATCTAATCCACCGGAGGGTATACATTAGCCGTTCATATTCCTCTAGTTAGGGACATTATTGGGCGTAGGGAAATCATGATAGACTACCGGGCTGGCGGTTTACTAGGGGGTTCCATTTCGCATATGGATCATGGTGTTTTGGCGTATTGCAATGAGGGAGCATGGTTCATCAACGGCCGGCGAAGGACAGAGAAGCGTTTCATCACGGGAAGAACCTGGGTTATCTTTATGGTTTATCAGGACAGCCATTCCAATTTTTCTTCCTTTCACTCTAGCTAGGAAATAACTCCAGGCACGCCATCTGTCGGGTTGCGGTACAAAAGAGACTCTTGGTATGGGTACGTGTGCGCTGGTCCAGACGCAGTTCAATGGATATCAGGATAGAAGCAAACAGGCATTCGTCTTCGTCGTGAGACTTAAGCACCCGGATTCCTTGCCCGAGCACGAGATGCGAGTTGATCCATGTGTTTCTTCCACCGAGCCTACCAGACCCCGTCTCTCCCCTGGACCACTGGCCCATCGGGAGACCCTGCATCATCGTCAACAGGCTCAGTTCCGCTGTGGTGTCGGAAAATGGGACCAAGTCCTCCCCAGGGGTACGCCGGGCTCGAAGGGAGAGGCATGTTAGAGATGGTTGTGGTAGGCGTGCCGGCTACGGAGAAGCTGGTATCTGAGAAAGCGCCGCTGGCTCTGCTGGGATTGCTCAAGCGGCTTGTCGTTGATGTGATGAATGTCGTGGCTGGGTCTACAGATGTCCAGGTTCCTGCGATGTTGTTAGATTGACTAAATTAGGTCGGGAGGTTCTGACTTACGATTTGTTCTAGCTGAAGACGTGCACGAACCTGTGAACCCTGCCGTCGACGCTATCGTGATATTCTGCCATCTGGAACTGCAGGAAGATCTGGATGAGTACGCGGTGTACGCTGTGTTGTTTGAAGATGATGGTGGGTAGACCACGGTTGGATCAGCCTTCGCCGTAGCGGAATTGATGAGAATGCTTGTGGTGACGACCTGAGTTACGGTGCCGTTTGTTACAGTGACAGTGTTGCAAGCCGAAGAAGCTCCAGATGGAAGGCTGGCAGAGTTGGTCAAAGCTGGGCCCGCCGACTCGGTAAGAGAGGGTTCAGAAGATGGCGCGGTGCCGGAAGAAACTCGAGAACTAGATGAGTTGAAAGGCGACAGTGTAGGTACAGGTAATATAGACACAGAAGAGAAGACGGATCCTGACATAGTCCAGGTGAAATGAGACGTTGAGATTGCTCCAGAGATGGTGGTTGAGTTGCTAAAGGGGGGTAGCGAGGAGGGATGACCAATAGTAACGGGTGGAGATCCCGTTGAGAAGGCCGTGCCATTTGCATTTGTGACCGTTGTCGTGTTTCGTGGAGTAGGCAAAGGAGCAGTGCCGGATTGCATTGTTGGTATACTAGTGGTTGACAACATGTTTGACGCAGTTGAGTTGGGCCACTGACTCCAAGTTGAACTTGGATCTGTCGGAGCACTGAATGGACCACCTGTGCCTCTCCAAGTGACACTGAATCCCGTGCCGGCCGAGGTGCCCGTTGCGCCTGGAGTTGTCGTACCGTTGAAGGTTGGGAAAGGAGGCAGGGGAATGATTGAGAGTGTCTGCGTAGTGCTGCCGTTTGCTCCGGTAGCGGTCAGAGTAGTGACAGGGAGTCCTGATGCTGTGGCAGGGATCCAAGTTGGCCTTGGAATAGCAGTGGCGTTTCCTGTTGTCGGGAATGGCGGCAAATTGACGGTAGACGAAGTACTATTGGATGTTTCTGAGGGCTCGGAGGTTTGAAATAACGTCCCTGAAGCCCATGTGCCACTTCCTGTAGGCCCGGATAACTTGGTGGAGTTGGTTGTGGGAAAAGGTGGTCGTTCACTTCCGATGGATGTGTAAGTGATGGCAACGGTTCCTGAGTACACCGTAGAAGGCGGCATACCAGAGCTGTTGATCGCAGTGGGCCAGGGGATCTGGGTTAAATTGAATGTGGGAAAGGGGGCTGATGCTGCTGAAGACGTCAAACTGCTTGTGGCGTTGGCTGTAGACGTCTGCAGGAGCGTCCCATTTGAGGACGAAGTCAGGCTGGGAGTCATCCCGGTTGGCCACAAAGTGATTGTGCTGCCTCCACTCACGGTAATGACTGAGGCCGTGAGGCCCCCGCTAGATGTCGAGTTGATCCAAGGAAACGATGCCGAGGCCGAGGCAGTAGTGTTTGATATACTAGTTGCCGACGAGGTGATGGCAGGGATTGAAACGGTGCCAGTGAGTGATGCCTGGGTGGAGTTGAACACTGGCCATGGAGGTAAAGTGGCCGAAGCCCCTATCGAAGTCCTATTGGAGGTTGCTGGATCCCCGGAATGGCTCGTTGCCATCCAAGTGGCGTTAGCACTCGCGGCCCATGTGGAATTTGGTAGTTGAGGAGGGGTGGCGAGCGTAGCTGTTATGCTTGTGGCATTGCCGATCGATGTGATGACTACTGTTCCCGCCGTGGAGCCTCTTGTCAGAGTCATGATCGTACTCGAGTTCCATGGAGCAGTAAAACCTGTCCCGTTCGCGGAGATCGTAATTCGAGCACCTGACACTCGACTGCTCGCACTTCCAGTCGGCAGTGTTAGAGTAGTCGTGTTCGACGCGGGATATGGCCCTGTTGCCCTGGAGCTATTGGCAGCCGAAGGAAATGTACCCGTGCCAGATGGCGCAGGCGGTGGACTTTCTTCACTAATAGAGGCAAGCGTACCGCTTGGCCATATTGTCGAGTTTGCCGGAAACCAAGGCGCGGCAGTGACAGCAATGCTTGTTCGGACGATGGATCCTGTTCCCGAGATGACGAGAGTTGAAGTAGGCAGAATCACTGTAACGACGGGGTGTGAGGTCCAGTTTCCGGTCGGGCTACTTGAAATGGTTCGGTTTACATGGCCATCGACCGTCGAGGAGTTGACTGGTAGAGCTCCCGAGACTCGAGAGCTTATTAAGACGCTGGTAGAGATGCCCGTACCAAGTGTGGTCTGAATGCCTGTGACCGGAGCACCTGATTGTGTGCTATTCCATCCGACAGTGGCCTGTAGAGTATGCGAGAGAGTTGTCAACCGAACGGTTCCGTTGGCGCTGAGAGTGACGACAGAAGGGACTACTATGAAGGAACTTACGGACACCGAGAAGTCAACGGAAGAAGTTCTCAACGAGGACGAGTTGGGTGAGTAAGTTTGGGAGCTGGTCACCGAGGTGGGGAAACCAGTTGAATTCCACAGCGTAGGCCACGGACTTTCCACAGGTTGGGTCAACGTAGAAGCTTGTTCCGAAGAGACGAAGAGAGATGTTATCGACGTGGATGTGTTGAAAGAGGCTGAAACTGGACCACCGGTGCCAGTCTGTATCTTGGATGATGAATTGAATGCAGAGAATGGCGGCGTGGGCGTGGAAGTGGCCGATGCTGAACCAGTCGAGGATACGGCCGTGCCGTTATTGACTTCGGACGCGGAGGCAAAGGTGCCAGATATGGTCTCCGAAGAAGCTGTCTGGTTGGCGCTCAGTGACGTTGCAAAAATGGATGACGTTGCGGTTCTGGTCGAAGTGTTGGCTGGCGGCCAAAGAGTCGACTCTGTTAAAAGTGATGATGATACACTTGAAGCGATGGAGCTGGATGAATTCAATGTCACAATGGTGCTAGCCACCTTTGAAGATGCAGTACTTGAAGTACTATCAGAACTAGGGGGGTACGTGACGGCATTGGACAGAGTGGTGGTAGCTCCAGCAGAGACAGTTAAGCTCAGAGTAACAGAGTCAGAGACGCCATATGTGCTGGAGTCGCTGGCGACCGAGCCGACTTCAGTTGAAGATACTACGCATGTCAGTCTGAGAGCAGTATCCGAAATACATAATCGACTGACCATGAGCACTATTAGCAGAGGATATCACGGTCGACGGCGGCTGGTCACCGTAAGAGGTGGGAGAGGGAGGCGGCGGATAGGTGTATCCATAGTCGTAGCTGGTGAATGCATCGGGATCTTGAGGGCTCCTCGCGTGATGTTCAACTTTGAGGGCAGTGGTGTGGGACTCGACTTTGTCCCGCTGCTTGAGGTCATCGGCATTGGCGGAAGCTGTCACGCCTGTAGCAAAGAATGGCAGACCGACTACCGTCACAAAGACGACAGTGAGATGTGAGGCTCGCATATTCGGAGTTTCTTCTGAAGCGGCCTCAGTACAAAGTTCGTAGGACACAATATGGTTGACGATCATACCTGGCGAGCCACTGCTAGGAGTATTCAAACAAACGAAAGTCGGGGATACTAGTACAAGTGAACGAATGAAAGCCGGCTCACTCGTATTCGAGTGACTGGGGATGGGCACAGGAGAAGAAACGAAGAAGGGGGAAAGGGCGAGAGAGAAGGGAAGGGGGGAAGACCGAGGTGGGAAAACGGGAGAAGGAACTTTGTATGTGTAAGTATCTGAAGAAGGGGACGACACAATTATAGCAGGAAAGAGCTCACGACTTGCCTAATGAAAGGAAGGTATGATGCCGGGAAGGTAATACCACCAACTGGCTTACACATGCTCCTCCTTCCTTTCAATTTCACAGCAACTTCCATATCTTTCGGGAATGCCTAATCTTGCAAGATACCTTCTGATTACTACAGGGCTCGAATGTTCCCACTTCATTCAGTCTTGCCATGAGCCGAAATCAGTTGCTGAAGCGGGCCGAAGAGAGGCAGCCGGATTATCATTCAGCTCTGTGGCCTAGTTTGGTGGGGAGCTGTGGAAGATACAACCTTTCCTATATTGGAATTCTTCTTTGGCACAATGTCAGAAGATTGCGAAGAGTAGAGCAGCTTGTACTCGAGGCTAACCAGGTGGTCACAAGAGAAAGATACCCAACTGCTATGCGACCCCCGAGCCGAGCTCGACACAACACACAGGTACGATCTGGCAGTATAATGATCAGCTCGCGGTCATCAACCACATTGAGGCCCTACATCCGTATTGGTGAAACGAGAAGAGGGATGGACTTCACGTTCGGTACTCTGTCTGCGGCATCCATCTGGTACTGAAAGTCGATGCTGATGGAGAGTTGCTGCATCACCAGTCTCGCCCCTGCGAATCTGAATCAGTTCCTGACCAGGATATCACCGAAGAGCACACATCGTGACATCTACTCGCATGTCATCAAGCACAGCGTGGTATGGTGGCAGTCACAGACACGGGACGTGGTCCCGAGGTGGTTGCACTCACCAAGGAACACCTACTAGTGACCTACCAGAAAGCCACTGGTCGGCGAGACTCGAGCGGCCTCTCCGGCAGAACCGATAACTTTGCCCCGAGTCTTGTCCCATCTTGACCATCCTCTAGTGCCGGACACGATTGCAACCAGTTGTAGTTGCAAAAGCCAATCTTTGACAGTGCATGTCATGCAGCTACCCGTGTACCTTGAAACAAGATTACCTGTTCCTGAAGCAAGTAGTACGCCATAATGGGAGGCTCGGAGCGAGGGCTCGCGATGTCTTGTCCTACTCGTTTTGTTTATGTTAGGCCCAGGTGAGTCTCGCTTGATTAGTAGCATGGACTGCTTCGCCGGAACACCTGTCAATGTGCCGTATCAGGTGGCGAACGTCTCGATTTGAAGAGCGATCGTCTAGCTGGTCGTCGGCGAAAAATGACAAAGCCGGTGCTGCAGTGTCTGAAACACGTTGCGGCAGACGAGATCAGGGCAAGACTTGAAGAGTGGTACATCAAGGATATCGTGATGCGCAGGGTTGTGATTCGTAAATTAATTATTACGGTAAAAGTTCCTTCTTCTCATGTTCGTCGGGGCCAAAACACACTGCTCCGTCGACTGTTACCAGAATTACGCTTCGCCGACTTTGCTTAGCGTGTCGAACAACGCCGTCTCGCCAAGAGTTACGAGTGCTCTTCAGCTGAAAGCTTCGGCTCTTGTCGCACTAGATCCGTCACTGCTGTCAAGATGCTGTGGCACGGGGATCCGGTCAAAAGAGGGGTCGGTATCTCCTAGTGCCAAGCCGATCCCGCCGTAAAAGTCAAAGGTATGACTCCAAGACGCAGTCATCCGTCGTTTACTCGGCCTTTTGTGCCGTCTCTCGAAGCGTGGGTGCGGTACTATCCGTCATGGAAGTATCCTTGGCCTCGATATCGGCGGCCCAAAGAGCAGCGCCGACTATAGATAAGCGTCAGTAGTTACTCAAGGCGAAAGTCCAATCCTTGTCAAACATACCTGCGTTTGTGAATGTGAAGAGAACGCTAGCGAAAGGGATCATCTCAAGGGCGGTTGCAACTAGGCCGAAGCTGTGACAGAAGTCAGTCAAATGCACACAATACATGCGCGGGTGGATACCAAACGTACGCAGTGTAAGGCCCGGCGTGTCTTTTCAGCCAGTCGGCTCTTCTGGAAGACGACCAGTTCTTGAGTTGGAAGTACTGGGTTGGATTGTCAGTACGATATCCGGGAAATGGAAAGGAAGAAACATACACGGCCGTGGACGGCTTGACCTCTACTGCGAGCTGCAGAAACGTTAGCTGTGAAATACACGGAAGCGGCCGGCAAGACTCACCCTGCAGAGAGATAAAGATGACGGTTCCCACGACAGGAATGAAGTTCAGGGGCAGGTAGATGAGGTATCTGATGAGTGCCTTGGGGCTGTATTTTTCAAAGGGACTCTTGAGAACCTTGCCCAGCTTCTGCATGGGGTCAGATCCGGGCCTGAGCTGTCTGCCTTCCCTCACAATTCCGTCCTCGTCTCTGAGAAGAAGAGTGCCGTCAAAGGTGTCCAGAATCGCGTCCTGGAGCAAAAATGATCGCGAGAGGAAGTTGATGATTGCCGAACTCTCGTTCAGAATCAAAAGGACGGTGGTGAAGACGGCTAGCGGGCCGTTCACGAAAACGAGGAGAGCAAGTTGTGGCACGTAGGTGAAGACGAACATGCCAGTGACGACACCGGCAGATAGGAGCAGGTAGGATCCGATGCGTGACAGGAGGGGCTTCCACAGTGTTCGGTGGGTTGCGAAGTAGATGATGCCCTTGATGGGGTACAGGTAGGCCTTGCTCTTGGCAGCATCGGCGACCAAACCTCTCGCCTTGTCGTAGTCCTCTTGCCTGTCATACGTATGTTAGATTGGGGCGCGAGCACGCGAGATGGTGGATAATACGAACAGGACTTCCTGGGCCTTGGTTTGCACAGAGTCGACCATCCTGTTCCTTCCGCCGGAGCTGGAAGCCTGGCCCTGGGAAACAGTTCGTTCGTCAGACATGATGGGATAGCTTTCGTCAGGGTGTCGTCTGAAGTTGCAGAGAAGGCTTTCGTAAAGTAAGTTGGTGCTGGTAGACGGAACGACGTAAAGATGGGGAAGCTGAGAGAGAGTGTTTGCGACGTGGCTTGGCCAAGGCACAGCTCTGGCGTATTTATTTAGCCCGAGGATCGTGATCTGACTCCTGCGTGCCTGCCAAAGGCAAGCTACCTTACCTATGGCAGCTGAGGTACGTAGAGCTAGCTCCCTCGCTTTGGTTCGGTGATGGCTGTATGACGTAGTGCTGTGGCGGGAGCTTGACTTCCCTGTGGCTACTTATGATGTGGCTGAACTCCGGACCAAACCCTCCGTGGGGAATTCTTGGCAGCAGCAGCGCAAGACACGACACGACATGGAGCAGATCAATTCTCCTTAGCATTGGTCTAGACATTCATCTGGTTCCCAGCACTGGTTCACAACTTCACAGCGAACCGCACCTCTGCGGCTGTTGATGCAATATACACAGGTGCAGATTGCAAGTCCTTTGGTCTTAGCTGCGCTCGATGCTTGCTAACGACAGGGGTCTTGTTGGTGCATAATTAAAGTACCGCCAACCAAAGCCAATTCCATCCTCACATATTCACTTTGACAGCTCCAATCAATTTAATAACCACGGACCGCTCGAAAGATTCTATCAACGCCAAATCTCAAAACATGGTCTAGCCTCCTTCACTACTATCAAGTTGCTTCTGGTCCTTCCCTTCTTGCAAGATCAATGACGAGAATTGGAGGCTCGGCCCGATCCCGACGAGCCCCTGCCCTCAAGCGTGGAGCTGGCCGGCATGATGGCGAGAGCCAGGTCTCCTAGCCGGCGGAAGGCGTCCTCCCGGGCATCGTGAGCGTTCTCAACAGCCTTGAAAGCGTCAGAGATACCGTGCCGAGCATCGCCCTGACCAGCGTCACGGTGCAGCTCATCAACCACGAGCCGAAGAAATTGGTCCGAAGGCCCGATTGCTTGCGGGTCCCGTGCCGCAATCCAGACTTCTCTCCCCAGGCGGCGCGAGGCTTTTGCCTTTTCCTCGTCGATTCTTCTGATATCAACCAATACCTTCGAGACCCTTAGGCCAGCTGTGTTGGAGGAACGGCCGCTCCGACTCGGTCCTGCAAAGCTCGGGGCGCACCGAATCTCGCCCATCACTTCATCGTCAGACGCCGTGTTGTAGGCCATTGGAGTGTCCTCATCCGAAGCCGCTGATTGATGATCGTCTTGCAGTTGTGTGTTGTGGTAAGCCCTGGTCACTCTTTCAACATGTCGATATAGGTCTTTGATGGCTTTCCGATCCTGGCATGTCATTGTCAGTAAATGTTTCGAAAGACAACCCAACTTTCTGCATTGAACTTACCCCGGCGAACTTCTCGCTCTCGCCATCAACCTGTTCTGCCAAAATGATTTGCCTGGTCTTCTCAATGATCTCCAGAGTTTGGGGCCACTGCTCCTTCTGAATCTAGATGGAGATTCAGCATCCCACAGCCTCCACCAAGAAACAAACTCCTACCATGAGACAGCGTTTGTCCTTATCCTCGGCACATCTGGCGCATTTCCTAACTAGAACGATGAAACGTAAGTAAGAAAATCGTGAATGAGAAAGGTACTTAACGCCACTCACGGTTTCTTTTACAATAGTAGTTCGCGACCGGCTTTTGCTTCCTGGGATAGACGCCAGTGTAGAAACCGAGGCATCGTAGGCACCAGCGGTTGTCCTCCTTCAATGAATTGGCTGAGGCTTCGGATCGGGGAACCATCTTTCTGAAGCCAATGCCAACTTTCGACTGATCTTGCTATTGTGCTTGGTACAGAGACAAGCAGCTCTAGGGGCCTGGAAGGAGACGGGCTTGATATATGCCTCTGAGAAGTCTACCTAAAAAGTTGAGGTCTC